ATTTTATTTATTTTATATTTGAGTGTATTTTAAACCAATAAAGCACCTTTTTGTTTGGAAGAAACTTCTCTGACTTGGCATCTACACTATCCTGAGCTGGTCAAAGGTGGAACAAGACAGAGCATTGCACAGAAGAGGGATCTGGACATCCTTTTAATGGTCCACAAGCGCATATCATTGAGTCATATGAGGGTATGACTCCAGATTTGTGAGTGACACCACTCTTGCATTTTAATATACGTTATACTTGACAATACTGTATTGCACTAGTGTTTTATAATTTTATTTTTCAGGATATTTACTAAACAGTTATTTAGAAGCTCCACCTTACGTATGTATTTATATTGTTCATTTTCTAAAGCGGGGTACCACTTTTAGGTGTGTAGAGCTTTTTACTTACTCCTTTCCACATTGTACATTTATTTGTTTGATCACACACTATTAACAGAGCAGAATATTCTAATATTCTATTCCTTTTTTAAACGTTGTATATCAGGTCCCTAATTTGAATATCACGGAGTCAAGAAAAACAAGAATTGAGCAGCCATACTACAGAGGGACCAGATGATATTCAGGCAGAATTGGGATTTAAATTTAGAGGAGCAGAGTAAAGGATGCTTGAGCTACAAAGTAGATTATTCTGGTTGCAGATGGGCAGAAAGAAACAAAAAAAAACACATACAAAACCAGACAGACACCAACTGAGTATAGGAAAAAGCATCAGGGGCCTGGGGAGTCTGAAATGTCACAGTTGTGTAAGCAGTAATTACACAAATAAAATCGCCTTGGTAAGTGGCAGCAGAGACCAGTAATATAGCAGTCCCTGCGGCTCAGAGGGAATATATCAGAGATGACAAGAAGGCTCCCATTGGACCTATGCAGTAAGACAGGGCCCTGGAACTCTGTAACACTTTAACGGCTTGTGAAGATTCTGTCTGCTGACCTCTCCTGCTGTCACAAACAATGGGAGCAGATACCAAACTTTTGATGAAATAATTGACCAGAATTTAAGTGTATTCGTTATCCTACCAGTGATTACAAATATGGAACCTTGCACCAGCTGGGTTATCACATCCACTATATTTTCCTGGACACATATTCATATAATTTCTACATGCTGCAGGCCACTTGATGAAACTTTTAGTAAATAACCCTGTACCAGCCCAGCATCTTTCGCATTTAGCCTGAGGCTGACCTTGCATGGGGCATATACCAATATTTGGTGATAATTGCAGACCTGGAACCCAACATTTACCTGGACCTCAGGGCTGCAATCTCTGGGTGATCGGTTGTCATGGAAGAATAATTTATCCTTGGTTACTTCCATCCTGTGTCTAGTCCTGGACATTTAATTGGAAATTGTGAAAGTATCACTTTATCAACTCGTACTATAATTAAGCACAAACCAATAAAGTAATGGTAGGGAAAAAAGTGATTTAAAACCCCTTGCACCTGAGGTCAGTGAATGGTAAATACATTGTTAAATGCAGATCTGCACACACCAGTCAAGTCATAAGACTTGTTTTCCGACAAAATCTTACATTTGCAGGGCTATTACTACCGCAAGGGATTCTGGGTGAGCATATGCAAATGAGTTCAACTCACCACTTTTCTGCCTCATTATTCCACTTTATACATGGATTCCTTTTTTTCCTCACCATAACTCTAATGGTTTGTTCTCCGCAAGTACTGCCAAGCTTCAGTAGCAAACCAGTAACCAACCTCATGCTGATGAGTTGCATTAACAACAAAATGGCTGTCAATGAGTGGTTCACTGGCTTTGCTCCTCTTCCTGAGTTGTGTTTCAAAGCTGTTGTATACAGCAGACATATACTCCAAGGAATCCACATATAAAATGGTATAAATGAGGCAAAAAGGTGATTTTTTTGTTGGACTCATTTGCATATGCCCACCCAGAATGCCCTGTGGTAGTAACATCACAGCAAATGTGAGATTTCTGTGGGAAAAACAAGTCTTTATGACTTGACTGGTGTGCAACTCTGTAGTTAACTAATTTAATTTTCCATAATTAAACAATAAATTCAATTTTTTTTAAATGCAGTGAACTAAAAAAACAGCAATTCCAAAATTAGGTCAATTTAGCCAATTTAATAAAATCCTCCCACTTTGGTGCAAACACTATAGATTACTCAAGCATTTAACATAACATTTTAATGGAATACATACTGATACACATAAAAGATTCCTGTTTAAATCCCAATTTATTTTTTATTTTTGCTTCAGCCAGAGAGCTTATTTACAAGGAAATAGTTGGCCAGAATAACAGTTTATATATGGGATATTTCAGTATCAAACAAAAATTCTGTGCTGTGACAATTTTCACTGGCTGCTTGTGTGCCATTGTATTGCAGGTAGTTCCTGAATGCTTGCTGGGTCACATTCACAGGAAAACTCAGTCTGGCTGGCACACTGTATAGATTAAATGGCTTACAAGTCCCATAGTTGCTTCTTCCAGTGAATGGCCACTCACATATGTTCTCCTTCATGATTTTACGGTAGCATAACGGGTGCACTAATATCAAATTTAGGCTAAAGTAACCCATTTGAAACAGAAACACCTCAAATGGTCTTTATTTTACCATTCTCTTTTCAATTTGCTACATTTTGGACTTTAGTGAACAAGCCCATATAAATGCAAATTACCCAGAATTTCCAACAAAGTTCACTGTGGTAAATCCAAATTAGGAAAACTAGGTTAAAGTGGCTAATTTGAAAAAAGACACTGAACTGGAAAACAGCCACCTCAGCTACTTTGTCCTCCATTTTGTAATTTGGGGTTTTAGTTCACCACAATTCGATGTTTAGTACATATAAACCGCTGCTGTTTTGTTGTACTTAAAACAAAACAATCATCATATGATTTGTGCTAATTCATCAGAAACGCAGAGATTAAATCATCCGTTCTTTGTTCTAAAAAGTCGATTACGTCTCTTCAGTCTTCGCAAAGATGGAATCCATTCAGAATAAATTACTAAACACAGATCAATACAAGAATAATTAAAAAGCAAACAAACAATGACAAAAGAAGGGATTGGGGGCACAACCGAAACACCACTAAGTAGTGGTGCTGCCGTAGAGACCACAATTTATACAAAATACTGATTAAGGTACAACGCAAACACAAATTGTACAAGGCTGCTTCAAATCACTTATCTCAGCAAACAAATATGAGCATTCAGTCCCACCATATAGCCGTATCGTGTTAAGCCCACCACTACGCCACGGTATCCCAATATCGCTGGGTCCTACACTAATTTTAACATGGGAGAAAAATTAAATAGTGCTAGTGCAAAATGAACTAAAGTGTATTTAATTAAACTGTTGTAAGAGCATTGCAAATATATATCATGAAAAATAAATGCGATAAAAACTATGTACAAAAATACAGTGTAACAACGAAATAATCAAAGTGATTATAATTTGTATTTGATATAGAGCAGATATAGTACGTGCATTGTGAGTATATGCATAAAAGCACTATCACTTTGATTATTTCATTATGACGTATTTTCTTTAAAAGTTTTTTTTTTTATCACATTAACATTTCAAGATATATATTCACAATGCTCTTACAACAGGTTCATTAAATACAGTTTAGTTTAGTTCCAGCATTATTTAATAAAGTTAAGAAAATAAAAAATAAAAGATCAATCGTGTCAAATGCATGACCCATATCTTGGAAAATACTATTCCACAAGACCAAATCTTTCAAGAGAATTTAGAAGAGTTGTGAATAATGAGTATTGATCGACTGGCCCTTTCAACTTCCATTCACACCAAGACATCGCTCAAGGTTATATAAATCTTCTGTCTCCAAATTGATCTGTAAATATATGACTGTGTTAAATCCCCTGCTGAATGCTGGGGGTAAGAGACGGCATTTTCTGTTTTTTGTATAAATTAAGCTCTCACATTCCTCCTGAAAAAGAACCTCATTGTTCATTGTTTTTTAGTGTTTTTTTTTTTTTTAATTCTTTATTTTATTGTGCGCAGAATTAAACAAGTATCCCTGACGCGCCACAACAGCGTTTTCAGGGTAGATTGGTAAACATTTGCATTATGTGTTGTGGCAATTTCTGTACAGGCACATTTTATATTAATGAAGTCAACATTATAACAGCGTTCAAGAGTTGTTTGTGTAGGTTAGGAGATAATGTGGCATATAAGCATGGCTATATATATGTAGCTTTCAGATATCGTACGAAAATCCCTGAACTGTCTAAGGTATGAGATATACTAGGCATATAGGCGTTATCAGATGGCATAGCATTACCAATGGGCAAACGTGTATTAAGTACTGCATTTACATAGTGTTCTGCTTGAGCAGTAAGCAGTAATGGAGGTATGCATAACTAAGTGTGCTCTATACGTGAGTCGTCTCCCCTGCGGCTTAGCAAAGAATGTTTTCGTGTTCCTCGGCTAGCTTGGATGATTTATATTTTTATAAGTTCTGTGTTTAGGCAGTTTATGTAGAAACGGTATCGGTTCTCCTGCAGACACATTCACTGGTACAGTAAGTTAGTCATAAGGCACTGTGCGAGTACTGCACTTGTTTTATGGTTTGATGTGTTCTGGTTGGTCACCGTAGATCTTAGTATCAGGAGAGTAATATATGAGGGCTTGCGTGCCTGTGTGGTGTAGCTGCCTGGAAGCGGTGGTATAATGGGTAAGTAAGATTAGTGGCCAGCTCGGCACTTGTGAAGCAGCTTAAGAAGGGTGATAGAGGTACTCTGTACCTTTAGGTAGCTTATCGGAGTGTGTCCCCAGGAAACCGCTTTATGTGTGGTCTAGTAAGAGGGGAAGTTAGGTTGCTCAGGTGATTCTACAAAGCCGCAGTGGAGTGCGTCTATGCGTGTTGTGTGCGGTTGTGATCTAAGTGCTGTGAGAAGGGCTCTATAACCCCAAGCTCATGGGGGGTGGGGGGGCTGGACCGGAGGGTCTTTTTAATCTGCTCTTTGTGTGGTGGCAATGTTCTAAGTGGCTTAGTGTGGGTGCAATAGGAGGCAGTGTTACTGCAATAGGGATTTAGCTAGGGGTGTGGAGCGTGAGGTGTGTCTAACCCTTTCGGTGGCTGGGGGGATGTTGCCTGAGTGCTAATTAATGCAGCTCTTAGTGAATTGTGTGAGTATAAATTTGAATGAGGGTTAAAGGAATTATAGTAGAACTAAAATAAAGTCTAGGTAATATGAAAGTGTGGAACAGGTTTGGTTAGCATAAGAGTCCTCTTGCTGGTGGTCAAAGACGGTACGTCTAAAATCCCCTGGTTCAGGTCTCTTACTAATGTCCCAACTCCTCAGGTGACGTAGGGAGCTTGCCTGTGCTCCGCGGTCCGGTGGAGGTGGTTGGTCCCATGGCAGATCCAGCTGGTTGGAACGGTTTTAGTTTGGACACGTCCCAGGTATGTGAGGCCTTCGGGGGCGGTATATTGGTCCCCTGTGCTGAGTCAGGTGGTAGTCCCAGTGCTGTGAGTACAGTGTCCATCTCCGCTGGCTTGTGTATGCAGATAGTTGTGCTTTCTTGGGAGATGGCTAGGCCCCTAGGGAATACCCAGCAGTACAGGATGGAATGTTGGCGCAGCGTGTTGGTCAGTGGTCTCAACAGGTTCCGCCATATCAAGGTGGGTCTGGACAGGTCCTGATAGAATGTTAAGTAGGCATTTTCAAACGAGTAGGATGGCTGTCCACTCACTGCTGACATGAAGGCTAGTTGTGCTGACCTTGTTTGGAGCTGAAGGATGACATCTCTTGGGGACCCTGTCGGGGCTCTGGGTGCTTTTGGGATGCGGTATACCCTGTCGATTTATGGCTCGTTTGGCTTGTTTTGAGGTAAGTACTGTGGTCAGGAGCCTCCTGACGCAGTGTGGTAGTTCATCCTGGGGCACCGTCTCCGGGATTCCCCTGATTTTTATGCTCCGGCTCCTATGCCGATCTTCCATGGCATCTAGGTGGTTTTTGAGTATTGTCTGTGCTTGTTGAAGCTCTCTGTTTTGCGCTTTTATTGTTAGGTAACTTGCGTTAAGGCACTGCGTGTCCTTTTCCACTTTCCTAACTCGGCCTTCCACGTGGTGTATCTCCTCCTGCGCTATAGCGAGGTCCGCCATGAACATTGTGCGGATGTTTCGGAGTAGCGCCTTAATGTCTCCTTTTGTGGAGGGTAACTCGTTGTCCTCATCTGAGGAGTGCTGGTGTAGACCCCCTGTGTCTGGGAACTCATCCAGCTCGTCCAGGGCTTGTTCTTCAGAGAAGGCAGAGTTTTTCACCATTTTCTTTTGGTGCGGGGTCTCCCGAAGCCTTAGCTGTACAGACAGGTCCCTAAAGTTTGGACTTCTTTCCCATCATGAAATAGCTAGTTTTGGGTTGTAGGCAGTTGAAATTAATTGCTTAAAAATGCTTTTTCAGGCTTAGTGTGGAGGAGCCCGCCTTACACACGTCTGCTCTGCACGGCTGTTAGCTCCGCCCCTCTCAGTGGTGGTTTAAGGACAGAATTAAGCGAAATAAGTTTGCTCTGTCCCCCGGTACACAGTAAGAAATCTTCCGTTGGCCCCCAATCCATGGTGTACACTGGGTCTGTTCCCTCTTGCCTAGAAAACAATATAAAACTAAAATTCTTAAAATATATAAATAACTGTTATCCTCCTAGTGGGCATAGCTGCACATTCTCTGCAAAGGTTAGAAAGATATAAAGTGGCAACATTTGTACAGTCAAAATCCTGCCTGACACTCCCATCAGGATACTTAAACTCTACCATTTTCCAATAAAAGTTAAATTTGATTATCACTTACAGATCATGTAGACATGATAGAAACTACAGGGGTCGGGTCTCTTTCCAGCTATAAAAGTGTACATGCATTAACACCAGATAATCTAGACCAGAGATGTCCACATCTGGCCCTTTAGTTGTCTATTTGTGACACTGCTGTTTAAGGTCATGATGAGACATACATCCCAAGTATCTGTATTTAGTAGGGACAGTGTATAACAGCGTTAATAATACTTCTAGTGATAAGTCTTTAATCTACAATAAATGTGTTTAGAAATTGGTCTGTGTTAATAGGATACATTGTTACGAATTACATGTTAGTTGTATAAATTGTTATTAGTAAGTAATCTAAAATTTCTCAGAACACACCGCCCCAGGCCACACCACCAGGCACACCTCTACATTTCCTATAAGAATTAATGTAAAATTGATTAATCCGTTCCACACCCCCAAAATTACAGTATTTTACATTTATATGTATGCATTAAAAATGCAGAGATCACTCTAATAATAAGCACCTTAGATTTATTGGAGTGGTTCCTGCCTTTCAACTTGCTAAAAATGTACTGTAGGCCATTATTACAATTATTTATTATAATTGTCTGACTTTAAAATGAGACATGGCTCTTTGTTGTATGTTCGTGTACCGAAGATTGTTCGTGTACCAAGACATTTTTTCCTCAAAATGTTTGTTCGACTTCTGAATTGTTGGAGAACAAGACCGCTCGAGTTCCGAGGTTCCACTGTATGTTAAAAAAAACCTTGTTTTTATATTCCCTCCTCTGACCAAATGACTGATTCAAGAGACAAATATTACTGATTGAAATTCCGGAGACTGAGCGAGCCATACTTCTGAATTTAATATTGATCCTTGTTGTTACAATTTGCTGCTGAGCACGTTACTATGCAGTTTTCAGGGTTCCTGCTGAGACTTTAATGAGTCATACAATAACACTGGGCAGAGTGCCCTAGGCCTAGACACAGCCATAACAACAGACAAGAACCAATCTAACGGCCACATAAGACAGAGATAAACAATAACTGCAACATCACAAGAAATCCAACCCGACCAATGATATTAAACATGCAGCATGATACATTATTAATGGAGTAAAAAGTCTCTTCAAATACAGGAGTTGTGTCAGTTTTGAAGCTGGTACATAGCACACAACTTGCCATTTTATTTTGTACTAGAGCTAGTAGAATCTTTTAATATTGGAATCAGTGGTTCTATTTTTCCCACCCAGGTTAAGGATATATGATTTAGAGTACTTAATTAAAGGAAAGGTTAAACTCTATTGCGCAGCACTGTGATACACACTGCATATTACTGTGAGTTTTATTGCTGTGGAGCTCTGTGATATAATCATACTCACTGAATAATACTGTGAGTTTTATTGCAGTGGAGCTCTGTGATATAATCTTACACTGAACATTACTGTGAGTTTTATTGCTGTGGAGCTCTGTGATATAATCATACACTGAACATTACTGCGAGTTTTATTGCTGTGGAGCTCTGTGATAGAATCATACTCACTGAATATTACCATAAGTATTATTGCTGTGGAGCTCTGTGATATAATCATACATACTGAATATTACCGTAAGGTTTTATTGCTGTGGAGCTCTGTGATATAATCATACATACTGAATATTACTGAGTTTTATTGCTGTGGAGCTCTGTGATATAATAATACACACTGCATGTTATTGCCAATTTTATTGATGTGGAGCTCTGTGATATAATAATACACACTGTGTGTTATTGACAGTTTTTTTGCTGTGAAGCTCTGTGATATAATCAAACACCTTGCATACTACTGTGAGTTTTATTGCTGCGGAGCTCTGTGATATACCCATACACACCATCAGAGTTATTCAATATAAAACAGTAAATTTGCCCAATGTGGGCAGAAAGGTAGTGCATCAATCTAAAGAATTGGAAAGTCAGCCTGGAGTGCTATTAAACAGGCTAGCCCAACATAGAACTTCTATGCTCATCTAAAGATGCACTCATGCTATGCTTTCAAGGTAAAAAAAGTCGGGAAGAGACTAAAATAGAGACTGTCTGGCAAAAATCGAGACGGTTGGGAAGTCTGGCTTAGTGAATAACGTTCCATGTTTATTACTGTGAATATTATTACTGTGGTGCTCAGTAACACACTCAATAAACAACATTTCCACAACAAACAGTCCACGTCTCAAGAAAAAGAAGACATATTAGTAGGAAAATAGCGGGTGTGGAGAGGGGATTTAACACTAAGCAGAGGAGCTATTTGGGGGTATATTTAATATATTGCTATTTTTATTGTCCATTTGGGGGAAATAATAATATACAGATCCAGCTTAATGTTCCCATTATTGGCAAAAACATGTTAGAAGATAGTAAATAAACATGCTTATTGTATTTCAGATTCTGACCGTGTGATTGCTTCTTCCTTCGCCCACACCAATATTTTTTTCATACATTTGATTGTCTTTTACAATTCCCTGCTAAGCCTTTTTTTATTTTATTACAATATTTTTTTCAGTTTTTGACAGCAGGAAGATTGAGCAGAATGTTAATGGATAAGTAGAAGGCGTCGTATAAGTATAAAACAGATATTGCCATTAAGAGTAAGAATGGGCAGAATATGGCGCATGGGGAGCCAGAGGAGTAAAATAGAAAAAAAGAAAGAAAAATTAACAAAACAAAGAAGAAAGACAAAAACACCAGAGTGAATCAGAGTGACAATGGGAAAGGAGGGCAGACAGATAAGGGCAAAGATGATCCAAGAACCCTGTGTTGTAAGGGAAATGGCTGTATTAATACACCCTTATAAAACTCAGGCCAAGAGACTGCCAGATTCCTGTCATTTAATTCCTTTGCCCCATCTCTAGTTAGTTTAATGTTTGCTTACTGTTTTTAAAAACAGGAATTTGAAGAAAAAAAATAAATTCATGCGCCACAATGACCCGTTGCTTATTTTTGCCAATGCACGGCTTAGTATCTGAATGAAACAATGCCAAGCCAATCACCCACACACCCATCTATTCATATTCCTAGCAACCACATCACGATAAGATTTTTAATTTTAAATTGCATAATACATTTAAAGAAAGAATTGTTGGCCCCATAGAATTGTTAATGGCTCGGTTTCCCCTCCATTGCTTGGATTAAGGCTCCTGGGTTCATCTTGCAATTTGCACCTTGGTGTGATGGACGGGCTCCCGTAGCGTTTTGTGAACAATCTGTTACTTTTGTTGCAAGGCTGCAGATATTTAATATGTGAGGTGTGAGGTTTTCACTGAGAAACATAATGGCGAATATGGATTTTGTTTTGTAGCATTTTTTTTTTGGTCAGGATTGAAAATGACCCAGCATGTATATACTGCACTGCCTAGATAAGGGTTTCTCTGTAACAAGATGTCATTCCAATTGTGTTTTCTGAAAATACTGGGGCTTATCCACTAATTACAGAAATGAAAATGGAACTGCAAAATTT